GCTGCAGTGGTACCCTTTACTCTTAGCTGAGGATCCCGGGTACCTATCCCAGGACGGACTGAAACGGTTGGGCACGTTTACTTTCATCTGATGCTCCTATTAACCTAACAGTAAAAATGTATTAGTGAATTAGGCAACTGTTGTTGAGTTGCATCCTGCAGAGCGGCAATAGTTCGACCTTGGAGTGACCTCTATATACGCCTACTGTATTTATATATGTACACGGGTTTTCTGTTCACGACCAAAAGAATTATTACTATTATTATTAATACAAACTGGTGAGAACAAATCTTTTAAAGTTAATCATTCAATTACTCACGTTTTCTTTAAATGTATTACAAATGTGGGAAGACGCACAACACTAGGAAGACTGCAGGAGTGTAGTCAGTGTAAGGAAGAACTCGACACGGTCTTGCGCTACAACCTTCCTCTCCAAAGTGTTACCCCTGTCGTGGTGAGGGGGCTCACGTACGACTGCCTGGGGCCGGTGAGGGGTTCTCTGGCCCCCTCTCCAGTATCTCACCTCCAACACCAGGCCCCCGGGTGTTATACGTGCAAAGGGACAAACCCGTAGGGCTCTTGTTCTAGTTGACGGACCTCCCGCTGGAGGGCTGCCCTTGGTGGTTGGTTGGGTGTCCAGGCTGGGGCGAAAGGGAGAAAGAGGTCCTTACACTAGTGTGCGAGAATGTACGAGGCAGTAGGACGACTCCCTCTGTTAAAAGGGACGACGCACTCTTTCCTCCACTGGCCAGCGCTCGGCCTCCCTCGCTGCCCTGCTAGGTGGTATCCCTTGGCTCCAAAACGCAGACATTTTAAATTAATGCTGTATGGACACCGAACTGACTTTTTTATACAGGCTCGTGGGGTGGGCTATCAGATCCCCGAGACGGCCGGTGATGGAAAATCGGGCTTCGTAGCCTCGGCTTCGTTGGGCCCAGATCAAGCTTCCTTGTTGGCTCTCGACTGACAATCTCTGTTCCCCTTTCACTTTCGTGGCAGGGTTGACCCTGCCTCAGCGTTGACCCTGCCAAGGCCTTAGTGGTGACCACCTCGTCACCTGGAGTGGCTCCATCTTTCATTGTGACAACGGCGCCTTTTAACCGTCATAACTCCCATACTCAAACACACATGATTGCTCCCAATTCGTCTACGTTCCAGAATTTGTTTGGTCCTGCCCAGTGGATTAAGTATTTTTATCTTTCTCATACTAATCGTACACGTACACGTCCTGATGATTTACACATCCATAAACACCTGCTGGTTCAGTTGATACCCATGTTCAGCCCCCACCCACACTGACACACGTGTAGTAGCAGCCCCTTCTCAGGAGGCAGCAGAACGCCTGGCATCCTTGTCTTGCATTGGTGAGACCCCAGTTGGGGTCTCCAAAAATATCCGGTTAAATGCCAGCATAAGCAGTCATTCTCGTTGCTTATGACTGGGTAACTCGCGAGTGCAGTGTCGCGACTGGAGATAGAGCTAAAAGAATACCACGAGGATGTTAAATATATTCTCGAACACCAAGGTCATTCTATCCTCCAGATTGACACGTTCATTTGACCCTCTCGTGGTGGTGGTCGTCAGCGTCTTCGGGCAGTTAAAAAAACTTGATACTAGGTCTCATCCGTCTTCCGTTATTCTTGCTGGTGCCAGACGCTCCATACAGGAATACATCCTCTCTCCTCGCCTCTGCAATAGGTGTGTCTGTGTAGACCTGTTTCATGGTTGAACGTTAGTCTTATGACCCCGCAGTCTTTCAAGGTACTCCTTAAGATCTAAGCAGGTTATCTGAAGCACCGAGTGACCGGTTTGGTCTGGGTTAAAATTAGAGGGTACCAGTCCTAACTGTTCACCTCTGTTCACCCAGCAGTAATTTGGACCTGGGTGTAAACCGACTGGTGGGTAGTGTGCCAGGGAAAACCAGCAGGGTAAAACATTTTATGAGTTATGGGAAGTGAAAGCTCTCAGCCTGCTGAGAGAGGCAGAGGCGTCTGCTCCACCTGTGTATAAAAACAATAAGCTCGTTGTATATATACTAAAAACACAGCTCTGTGCACATACCCTGTGAGTGTAGTTGCTTCTTGTTAGATGTTAAGGGGTAGGAAGCCTGTTGTCTCCAAGGATGGTTATCTTATCTTGAGATGATTTCGGGGCTTTATTGTCCCCGCGGCCCGGTCCTCGACCAGTCCTCCACCCCCAAGAAGCAGCCCGTGACAGCTGACTAACAGGTATCATGAAGTCTTCAATCTGCATTTTTTATTCTACCTTCCAATTTTACTTAACTTACACCCATTTTATTAGTAATTAAACTTTAAACTTTCAGTGTAGCACCATATAGAGTGAGTGTAGGCTACACCTCTGAATATGTACATCTCTGGCTACTTCACCACATTCTCACGGCTATCTGTCTCCTTTATTGCGCAGTTTCGTTTTTACGCCTGGCAAATGAGGAAGCAACGCTGGCTCACAGAAAGCTGTCATTTCCTCATCACATTGTCAGTTTAGGCTGCTTTTTCCCCCGGGTAATGTGCCATTTTTGTCATTCCGGCACGTTATTGGGCCTGTTATATATTTTGGTACTGTGACACTAAAGAACATGTAAGCGTCCAGTAGATGTGGACGACCGTGTGAACTACATTCAAAAGTTAGATGTATGTGATCATTAGTTCTTATTATGTATAGTGGTGAAGGTCAGACTGACTGGCAACTCATGTCATCACTTGGTCACGGTTGCCAGTAGGTAAATAGTGTGCATTTCTTCGTATTGTTTCCGGCATGGCTCCTTACTCTTAATTACTTACTCTTCATATGGTTTAATGGAGCACCTTACCTGTTATTCCTGCCTGTTTCTCCAACTTTTGCAACTGTCTCTTATGGGGGACTGTGTCAAAGGCTTTCTGGCAGTCTAAGAAAATGAAGCCTGCTTACCCTCCTGTTTTTTGCCTAATATTTGTCGTCTGGTCATAGAATGCTATTAAACCTGTGAGGCACGGTTTACGAGGGCAAGCAACTTGGGGAATCTTGCACCCAGGTTCGAGTCCTGTATATACTTGTTGAATTTTTATGCACATATTAAACTGGAGAATACCTGAGTGGGTTGATTTCTCATCGCACAGGCTGTTGCTTGGAGCAACCCGCAGAGCCATATGAATTGTTCTTCCAAATCTTTATTTAGATCTATGGCGGGGGATGAGTAGCGTGAGAGGCTGTCTAGATATACATGGACTTGTGGCTTGCAAATTTCATGGGGGTTATTAAGGCCACAACAATACCCTCCTTCCCAACCACTGTTTACTTCAGTGTTAAAGTAAACTGTATACATAAACCCAAAAGCGGAGTACACCTTTGGCTCTCTCTCTCTCTCTCTCTCTCACACACTACCAGGTGTAGTGTGTGTGTGTGTGTGTGCTTGCTCACATACCCGGTAATATGCGAGTAGTATATTGGAGTAAGAAAAAAGGAAGGAATAAATTTAAGGATTGTGTAAGAGCGAATACTTAATTAGGCAGCTTCTTTGTTTACATTCCACCAGCTGTTGTCAGAGGCCAAAATCTCTGAAAAATGTATATATATATATTTTTGCTTCTTTTATTCTCAGAAGCGGTATATCCAAGGTCGCTTTAATAAGAATATGATGAAAATCAACAGAGCTTTAGTGGACTCTTTAAAAATTCTCGCTAATTGTGCCAGAGGCAAGAAATACAGCAAGTATCCTTCCTCTGGCACCGCGTGAGATCCGTTCCCGCCACGTGTCTTGATCTTCATTTGTCTTTTGAACGGGAGAGTAGGGGATGGTGGGGGGGGGGGGTGAATGGAAGAGAGGGAGACATAGACAGATAAAAATAAAGAAGAAATGAGAAAACAGTCACAACAGGCACGAGTGCGGAGTGATTTCGACTTCAAACGACAACATGAACAACCCAGCGGGTTTTCTTCCTTTTGGGGAGTGTTGTACATGCTGCTATGGCGGTGTGTCCACTCACAGGATGAGTGGCGCTGCCCAATACTGTCACTATGGTGGGGTGTCCACTCACAGGATGAATGGCGCTGCCCAATACTGTCACTATGGCGGTGTGTCCACTCACAGGCTGAGTGGCGCTGCCCAATACTGTCACTATGGCGGTTTGTCCACTCACAGGATGAGTGGCGCTGCCCAATACTGTCACTATGGCGGTGTGTCCACTCACAGGCTGAGTGGCGCTGCCCAATACTGTCACTATGGTGGGGTGTCCACTCACAGGATGAATGGCGCTGCCCAATACTGTCACTATGGCGGTGTGTCCACTCACAGGCTGAGTGGCGCTGCCCAATACTGTCACTATGGCGGTGTGTCCACTCACAGGATGAGTGGCGCTGCCCAATACTGTCACTATGGCGGTGTGTCCACTCACAGGCTGAGTGGCGCTGCCCAATACTGTCACTATGGCGGTGTGTCCACTCACAGGATGAGTGGCGCTGTCCAATACTGTCACTATGGCGGTGTGTCCACTCACAGGATGAGTGACGCTGCCCAATACTGTCACTATGGCGGTGTGTCCACTCACAGGATGAGTGGCGCTGTCCAATACTGTCACTATGGCGGTGTGTTCACTCACAGGATGAGTGGCGCTGTCCAATAAACTCGCCTCTCGGGGCAAAATTTAAATTTAATATATATTTTATCGTGCCAATATAACATACTGAACTCAGCGGTAGCCTCAAGCTGTATCAGCTGTCGTACCGCGCGTCACAATCTGTAACTATTTAATATTTTGTTCGTTTTTATCAGAGATTTTTCCAGTAAGGTGAAACTGAGGAGGATGAGGCTTAGATGACGTCACGCAACTCTGGAAAGTTAATTGCTTCATTAGTTATGAAAATATTGTTGGTGTTCCGCGGGAATGTAAACATTTGCATTTTACTTTGCTATTAAATTACTGTCAAGCGTTTGAGCTCCTTCAGCCTACTGAAGAAACTATAACTGGTGAAAGCTTACGTAGCGAAGGAGATTAGACTCAATGTTATTGGTTGGCCTCCTGGCTGTCAGCCGAGTGTAGCAGTGAAGGTGTGACCTCCTGGCTGTCAGCTGAGTGTAGCAGTGAAGGTGTGACCTCCTGGCTGTCAGCTGAGTGTAGCAGTGAAGGTGTGGCCTCCTGGCTGTCAGCTGAGTGTAGCAGTGAAGGTGTGGCCTCCTGGCTGTCAGCTGAGTGTAGCAGTGAAGGTGTGGCCTCCTGGCTGTCAGCTGGGTGTAGCAGTGAAGGTGTGGCCTCCTGGCTGTCAGCTGAGTGTAGCAGTGAAGGTGTGGCCTCCTGGCTGTCGGCTGAGTGTAGCAGTGAAGGTGTGGCCTCCTGGCTGTCAGCTGAGTGTAGCAGTGAAGGTGTGGCCTCCTGGCTGTCGGCTGAGTGTAGCAGTGAAGGTGTGGCCTCCTGGCTGTCAGCTGAGTGTAGCAGTGAAGGTGTGGCCTCCTGGCTGTCAGCTGGGTGTAGCAGTGAAGGTGTGGCCTCCTGGCTGTCAGCTGGGTCTAGCAGTGAAGGTGTGGCCTCCTGGCTGTCAGCTGGGTCTAGCAGTGAAGGTGTGGCCTCCTGGCTGTCAGCTGAGTGTAGCAGTGAAGGTGTGGCCTCCTGGCTGTCAGCTGGGTGTAGCAGTGAAGGTGTGGCCTCCTGGCTGTCAGCTGGGTCTAGCAGTGAAGGTGTGGCCTCCTGGCTGTCAGCTGGGTCTAGCAGTGAAGGTGTGGCCTCCTGGCTGTCAGCTGGGTCTAGCAGTGAAGGTGTGGCCTCCTGGCTGTCAGCTGAGTGTAGCAGTGAAGGTGTGGCCTCCTGGCTGTCAGCTGAGTGTAGCAGTGAAGGTGTGGCCTCCTGGCTGTCAGCTGGGTCTAGCAGTGAAGGTGTGGCCTCCTGGCTGTCAGCTGAGTGTAGCAGTGAAGGTGTGACCTCCTGGCTGTCAGCTGGGTCTAGCAGTGAAGGTGTGGCCTCCTGGCTGTCAGCCTCAGTCTTCGAGAAGTAAACAATGACTGGTCTACCAGAGGTGTCCAGCAGCGCTGTCTGCTAGTACAGTTGGCTACGTTCTTGGATCACACTTGGGGATCCTGGGTTCGATTCCCGGGCGGAACAGATGAGGCTGGACACGTCTCCTTTCACCTAACAGTAAATAGGTTCCCGAGAGTTTGAAGATTGTTGTGGAGATGGCGAGGGTCAGGTTGACCTTGTGGGGATGTCGATACAAACTTGAAGTATATATATACACACAGGCTTCCTGTCCCCGACAGGGGGGACTTGTCCGCATGTCACGTGATCCATCACACGCGCCAACCTGTCCTCCCATTTAATACCTCGCATAACGGTGTCGACCACTCCACAGACGATCTTGATGTATTAGTTAAAATATATTCATCGTAATATTGACCTTTCCTATGCATCAGCCTCGATGGGTTAGGTGGGTTGCTTGGGTTCGTGCGTTTCTGGTTCGGCGAAACAGTTGGATATTTTAGTGAGTGGTAAATAGATGAGTACGACGGGCTCGCCATAGCCCGTGCTGCTTGTAGCTCTTGGTTCCCAGTAGCTGAATCTTTAACAACAACAGCAGAGAGAGAGCTACGGGCTATTCATGCCTGTGCCACCTTTTGGGTGACTTGATCTTTATCACTCAATCGGAGAGAGCGGCGCCCACTCAGACGGCGCAGACACACTTCCCACACACAGTGAAATGTTCATTTTCCCGCCACGCCCCGGGGCAGGGGGCGGGGGGCGGGGATGCTCGCGCTCAGCGGTTACACTTGTTTGTCATCTGGTTTGTGCAGGACTGTGCACACTAAATGTTACCTGCTGAACCTCCTTCACCCCATACAGGACCCTCCTAAGTGGCAGGCATGCAAGCCGTGAATCATAGCTCGTAACCTTCATATTTTACCACTATGTGCAGCCATCCTCACTTCATTCTCTTAATGGCTTCCCCAGATCCTACAACATGGCTTCTAATTTATTATTAAAAAAAAAGGTTAGGTTAGGTTTATTATAACAAAAAAAAAACACAGTCTAGCTGGGACCACCCACTAGTGTAAAAAATAGCTGATGCCATTCTCAGCGCCGCAACATCAGACAAGAAGGCTCGCCTCAAAGCAGTGCGTGCCCCCTATGCAGGAGACTTCCTCCTGGCAGTACCCATGTCAGTAACAGGCACGCGTCTAGATCCAGAATCCCTTCGTGTAGCAGTGGCCCTCCGCCTTGATGCCCCAATTCACTTGCGTATACACTTGCGTATACAAGTGTATACGCAAGAGGGTGGAAGCAGACCAGACCAAGTATGGTCCACCATCCCCTTTGTTCACCCGATACACTCACTCTCCCCGAGTGCCCAAGAATCAGCGTGACACCCCCCTTCCCCAGTCCCGGGAGAGTTGGGGAACATGTAAGGACATCCGCTGGATTGGGATCATGTCCCCCGGCTTACTGGCACAGCGGATAATACGAATAACCAATCATCAGGTGACTTGACGGGCGCCTATAACCTCCCGCCTGCGTAGGCTTGTGGGAGCCTAGTGAGAGGAAGAAGGTACCCAAGAGTAGCATGGTGGTATGTACACCATTGACCAAGCTGCAGCAAGGTACCTTGAACTGTGTTGAACTGGAAGCTGAACTGTGTTGCCAGTCGATGCAGTTAATGCACTGTTATACAGTTGTTTCGTAATAAAGCGTAAAGGGAAAGATATTATTAATATAAGTCCAGGATTATATAAATTAAATAACTTTATAATCGGTATGATTTGCGATAGGTGTAAAATTATTTCAACAAAAAGTGTATGTACAACACTCTAAGAATGAGGGAATACCCGGTTAATATCTATTTAATCATCTCACCTTCATGTCGGTTGTATTAATCGATATTTTAGCTTACGGATCTTTGTCTAGTCAAGTGTAGTTGGCTATATAATCCCAAACTTTTATGCCATCTGACTGTATTTCCTTGATAATGTGGTGAAACACGAAAACGTTTGGAATTTTTGCTTCATTTTTCCTAGTGGATACTTACGATATATATATATATATATATATATATATATATATATATATATATATATATATATATATATATATATATATATATATATATATATATATATATATATATATATATATATATATATGCGAACAAGCCTGAATGGTCCCCAGGACATATGCAACTGAAAACTCACACCCCAGAAGTGACTCGAACCCATACTCCCAGAAGCAACGCAACTGGTATGTACAAGACGCCTTAATCCACTTGACCGCCACGACCGGACAAAATGAGGTGATAGCCGAGGCTATATGAACCACCCCACCGCCGGCACTCGGATAGTTATCTTGGGCATAGCATTTTACCAAATCACCTCATTCTTTGGGGCACACGTGAGGAACACAAATGCGAACAAGCCTGAATGGTCCCCAGGACATATGCAACTGAAAACTCACACCCCAGAAGTGACTCGAACCCATACTCCCAGAAGCAACGCAACTGGTATGTACAAGACGCCTTAATTCACTTGACCATCACGACCGGACAAAATGAGGTGATAGCCGAGGCTATATGAACCACCCCACCGCCGGCACTCGGATAGTTATCTTGGGCATAGCATTTTACCAAATCACCTCATTCTTTGGGGCACACGTGAGGAACACAAATGCGAACAAGCCTGAATGGTCCCCAGGACATATGCAACTGAAAACTCACACCCCAGAAGTGACTCGAACCCATACTCCCAGAAGCAACGCAACTGGTATGTACAAGACGCCTTAATCCACTTGACCATCACGACCGGACAAAATGAGGTGATAGCCGAGGCTATATGAACCACCCCACCGCCGGCACTCGGATAGTTATCTTGGGCATAGCATTTTACCAAATCACCTCATTCTTTGGGGCACACGTGAGGAACACAAATGCGAACAAGCCTGAATGGTCCCCAGGACCATTCAGGCTTGTTCGCATTCAGGCATATGTCCTGGGGACCATTCAGGCTTGTTCGCATTTGTGTTCCTCACGTGTGCCCCAAAGAATGAGGTGATTTGGTAAAATGCTATGCCCAAGATAACTATCCGAGTGCCGGCGGTGGGGTGGTTCATATAGCCTCGGCTATCACCTCATTTTGTCCGGTCGTGATGGTCAAGTGGATTAAGGCGTCTTGTACATACCAGTTGCGTTGCTTCTGGGAGTATGGGTTCGAGTCACTTCTGGGGTGTGAGTTTTCAGTTGCATATGTCCTGGGGACCATTCAGGCTTGTTCGCATTTGTGTTCCTCACGTGTGCCCCAAAGAATGAGGTGATTTGGTAAAATGCTATGCCCAAGATAACTATCCGAGTGCCGGCGGTGGGGTGGTTCATATAGCCTCGGCTATCACCTCATTTTGTCCGGTCGTGATGGTCAAGTGGATTAAGGCGTCTTGTACATACCAGTTGCGTTGCTTCTGGGAGTATGGGTTCGAGTCACTTCTGGGGTGTGAGTTTTCAGTTGCATATGTCCTGGGGACCATTCAGGCTTGTTCGCATTTGTGTTCCTCACGTGTGCCCCAAAGAATGAGGTGATTTGGTAAAATGCTATGCCCAAGATAACTATCCGAGTGCCGGCGGTGGGGTGGTTCATATAGCCTCGGCTATCACCTCATTTTGTCCGGTCGTGATGGTCAAGTGGATTAAGGCGTCTTGTACATACCAGTTGCGTTGCTTCTGGGAGTATGGGTTCGAGTCACTTCTGGGGTGTGAGTTTTCAGTTATATATATATATATATATAACTGAAAACTCACACCCCAGAAGTGAATCGAACCCAAACTCCCACAACTGGGATGTACAGGGACGCCTTAATCCGCTTGACCATCACGACCGGACATAAGGAAGTGATAGCCGAGGCTATATGAACCACTTCCCCGCCGGCACTCGGATGGTAATCTTGGGCATAGCATTTTATCAAATCACCTCATTCTTTGGGGCACACGTGAGGAACACAAATGCAAACAAGCCTGAATGGTCCCCAGGACTATATACAACTGAAAACTCACACCCCAGAAGTGACTCGAACCCATACTCCCACAACTGGTATGTACAGGGACGCCTTAATCCGCTTGACCATCACGACCGGACATAAGGAAGTGATAGCCGAGGCTATATGAACCACTTCCCCGCCGGCACTCGGATGGTAATCTTGGGCATAGCATTTTATCAAATCACCTCATTCTTTGGGGCACACGTGAGGAACACAAATGCAAACAAGCCTGAATGGTCCCCAGGACTATATACAACTGAAAACTCACACCCCAGAAGTGACTCGAACCCATACTCCCACAACTGGTATGTACAGGGACGCCTTAATCCGCTTGACCATCACGACCGGACATAAGGAAGTGATAGCCGAGGCTATATGAACCACTTCCCCGCCGGCACTCGGATGGTAATCTTGGGCATAGCATTTTATCAAATCACCTCATTCTTAGGGGCACACGTGAGGAACACAAATGCAAACAAGCCTGAATGGTCCCCAGGACTATATACAACTGAAAACTCACACCCCAGAAGTGACTCGAACCCATACTCCCACAACTGGTATGTACAGGGACGCCTTAATCCGCTTGACCATCACGACCGGACATAAGGAAGTGATAGCCGAGGCTATATGAACCACTTCCCCGCCGGCACTCGGATGGTAATCTTGGGCATAGCATTTTATCAAATCACCTCATTCTTTGGGGCACACGTGAGGAACACAAATGCAAACAAGCCTGAATGGTCCCCAGGACTATATACAACTGAAAACTCACACCCCAGAAGTGACTCGAACCCATACTCCCACAACTGGTATGTACAGGGACGCCTTAATCCGCTTGACCATCACGACCGGACATAATGCCCAAGGACATAATGACCGGACATAATGACCGGACATGCTATGCCCAAGATTACCATCCGAGTGCCGGCGGGGAAGTGGTTCATATAGCCTCGGCTATCACTTCCTTATGTCCGGTCGTGATGGTCAAGCGGATTAAGGCGTCCCTGTACATACCAGTTGTGGGAGTATGGGTTCGAGTCACTTCTGGGGTGTGAGTTTTCAGTTGTATATAGTCCTGGGGACCATTCAGGCTTGTTTGCATTTGTGTTCCTCACGTGTGCCCCAAAGAATGAGGTGATTTGATAAAATGCTATGCCCAAGATTACCATCCGAGTGCCGGCGGGGAAGTGGTTCATATAGCCTCGGCTATCACTTCCTTATGTCCGGTCGTGATGGTCAAGCGGATTAAGGCGTCCCTGTACATACCAGTTGTGGGAGTATGGGTTCGAGTCACTTCTGGGGTGTGAGTTTTCAGTTGTATATAGTCCTGGGGACCATTCAGGCTTGTTTGCATTTGTGTTCCTCACGTGTGCCCCAAAGAATGAGGTGATTTGATAAAATGCTATGCCCAAGATTACCATCCGAGTGCCGGCGGGGAAGTGGTTCATATAGCCTCGGCTATCACTTCCTTATGTCCGGTCGTGATGGTCAAGCGGATTAAGGCGTCCCTGTACATACCAGTTGTGGGAGTATGGGTTCGAGTCACTTCTGGGGTGTGAGTTTTCAGTTGTATATAGTCCTGGGGACCATTCAGGCTTGTTTGCATTTGTGTTCCTCACGTGTGCCCCAAAGAATGAGGTGATTTGATAAAATGCTATGCCCAAGATTACCATCCGAGTGCCGGCGGGGAAGTGGTTCATATAGCCTCGGCTATCACTTCCTTATGTCCGGTCGTGATGGTCAAGCGGATTAAGGCGTCCCTGTACATACCAGTTGTGGGAGTATGGGTTCGAGTCACTTCTGGGGTGTGAGTTTTCAGTTGTATATAGTCCTGGGGACCATTCAGGCTTGTTTGCATATATATATATATATATATGACAATGTCAGACCACGGAGGAAAAATGAAACAGGAAATTTCCTTAAGTACTTTCGTATATTAAATACATCTTCAGAAGGTCATGTGTGTATATTAAATACATCTGTATATTAAATACATCTTCAGAAGAACATGTGTGTAATATCGAAAGTACTTAAGGAAATTTCCTGTTTCATTTTTCCTCCGTGGTCTGACATTGTCACATTCTTAATCACGTGTTTATTTTCGTGATATACACATATATATATATATATATATATATATATATATATATATATATATATATATATATATATATATATATATATATATATATATATATATATATATTCTCGTATTGTGTGTGTATCATGTCTCAATTCGTAGATATGCAACATGTGTGTGAATGACTGCCTCCTGTCTCTCCAGTATCTCCCTCCTTCCCACACTTTCTCTCCCACTTTCCTCTCTCTTTCTCTCCTCTTCCTTTCTGACTCTGCTCTCTTCGCTCTTCATTAAACGCCGCTATCCCTTCTACGTTTTCTCCCCTTCCCCATGGGCGGCTATTCCCAGTGTGCCAATGCTGGCTATATATCGCCGCCCCTTCTCTTCTCCCATCCTATCTTATACACCGTCCCTTCGTCAGGTATTTACTCCCAGGTTGCTCTTCCCGCCTAGGCCGCGGGCTGCTTTTAAAACCATTAAATTCTAAACTGAAAATTAGACCATCCGGACAAGCTCTAAATTAAAGGGACACTGGTGGTGGGGCGCCGACACCCGCCTGCCAAACATGGCCGCCCTCCGCCGCCCTCGTCGCCGCTCTCTGTGTGTGGATTTCACTGCCAAACACATCTCTGTTTTGTTCAGGAAGTGGTTTGGTTAAGCTGGGTCAAGCCTGCTGAGTGTGTGTGTGTGTGTGTGTGTGTGTGTTGTTTTTAAGGCTATGTGATGCAATAAAGTTACTATTTCCGAAGGTCATTTGAAATTGCAT